ATATGGGCGCCCCTATTAAGTAAATCTGAAATACAAAAGCTTAATTTGATAAGTAAAATCAATCTAACAAAAGTGAATCGTACACTTCCATCCGATATAAGCTTAGAATACTCAAACTTGTTTGAAGGTATCGGTCAGTTAAAAGAAGAACTCAAACTTCACATAAAAGAAGTAAAAACACCGTTCCTTCAGTTAGTATCACGAACTTTAGCTATTCCATTGTTACTCAAATTAAAAAAGGAACTAGATAGATTTACGAAATTGGGAATAATAGTGCCCGTCGATTTTCCTACGCAATGGTGTAGCCCAATTGTTGTTGTACTTAAACCAAATAGCGAAAATGTTCATTTGGGCTGAGATTACACCCGGTTAAATAAACTGTAAAAAGAGCTAATTTTCTTATCTTTAAAGTGGATACAGTCATGGCTAATTTAAAAGATTCTACAATATTTACTAGATTAGATGCTCAAGCCGGATTCTATCAAATCAAGTTGCATAAAGAAAGTCAGAACATATCGAATGTTATAGTATACATAAAAGATGTCCTAATACACACACGAACGATGAAAGAACACAATAAAATATTGAGACTGGTATTAGATAAATTTCGTGACAAAGGAGTAACTCTGAATAAGGAAAAATACATTTTCCGAGTCAAAAGATAAAGTTTTTAGGACACCTAATTTCAGAAAAAGGAATCGACGTATTACCCAAGAGAATTTCAGCTATTTTGAAACTTCCAGAACCTACTGATAAAGCCTCTTTATTGTGTTTTTTGGACACGGTTAATTATGTCAGTAAATTCATACTGAATAAATCTGCTATTCTTGAACCCTTAAATAGTCTGCTAAAAAAAATTCCCATTTTGTATGGCTTTAACCTCAACGTAAGGCTTTCACTGAAATAAAAGAGCTATTATCGCAGGCACTTACATTAGCCCATTACGACTATAACAAACAAATTATTATACAAGCAGACTCATCCAGTTACGGACTTCGTAGCGCACTAATTCAATAAGACAAGAAAAGTACGCGGGAAATAGTTGCATATGCATCTCGGACTCTCACGCCGAGTGAACAAAAATACAGCCAAATTAAAAAGGAAACCTTGGCATTGGCCTAAGCAACAGAAGACTACAAAGAATATATTATAAGTTTGGATATTACGTTAGAAAAGGATCATAAACCGCTCATACAGGTTTTACAGAAGATTTTAAAACCGTTAGATGAACGAACACCGCGTCTTCAACAAATTAAGTTAAGACTTATGTGTTACAATTACACTATTATATATTTATCGGGAAAACAGTTAGTGCTAGCAGATTGTTTATCTCGATATCCCATAAACGCTTGTACCGAAGTCCAGGATGATTTACCTGAAGAAATTGAAGGATATGTGCAGTTAACACTTAATAATTTACCCGCGACAAAAACTCGTTTAGATCAAATACGTGAGCAGCAAGGAACGGATTTTATTTGTCAGAAACTTAAAGAATACTGTTTGACAACTTGGCTTTCAAAAGGGAAATTACCAGAAGGTCTATGGCCATATTACCAGTTGCGAAATAATATTTCTTACATAGATAAATTAATAAATTCCTACATAATCTTTTGCTACATAACTCCCCTATAATCATACCTTTATCACTGCAAAAAGAGATCCTTTCTAAAATACACGAAGGACACTTCGGAAGCAAGTGCAGGGAGAGAGCTAAACAATCTGTATGGATAGATTTAATTTCGCAACTGCGAAGTGTTGTAGAAAATTGCCCTAAATGTATAAAAGAAAGAATAAATATGAAAGAATCTTTTGTTAAGGAAGCGTTTCCCAGCCGACCGCAAAAAATAGGGAAAAATAGATCTTTTTAAACATACAAAATGGTATGTAGTTATGTTCGATTATTATTCACGATATCTTGAGTTGTTTAGTCTACGCTCAGAGTCTTGACAGCGTCAAAGGTTATTGAACAGTGTAAAGAAACATTTGCTCGGTTCGGCATACCAGAAATCATTAGAAGCGATTATGGAACGCAGTTTGCATCCAAATTTAAAGAATTCGCGCGGGCATACGATTTTATACACATAACGAGCTCTCCGAAGTATCCTCAAAGTAACGGTGCGCCGGAAGCAGCGGTCAAAATCGCAAAAAGTATCTTAAAGAAATGCGATGATTTTCACTTAGGACTGTTAGCCTATAGATCCACACCATTGGAAAACGGATATTCTCCGGCAGAATTGTTATTTTCGCAAAGTACGGTTTTTCCTTCCTTTACCAAAAAATCTAGAATCTTTTGTAAACCACCTAGAAGTGCAACGAGAGGAAAGAAGGAAGGAGAGACAGAAACGAGATTATAACAGACGACATCGTGCAACAAAGCTTTCGCTTCTTAAACGATAGGATTTGGATTATAAATATGCGTGGATCAAATCGTAAACATAGCTAGTAGTCCGAACACGTACCTCGTCAAAACGGATACCGACATTATAGTAAGAAGAAATCGCTGGCATTTCGTTCCAGTTCCCACAGAATAGAACATAAGTGTTAAAGCAATAGACCAGCCACAGGTTTTCATCGACGAACCTGACAACGACTTAATCGAAAGCAAAAAGCAGCTTACATAGGAGATACGGCCAAAGAATGAGCCCAAAATAAAAGAAAACGAGAAGAAACAAACTTCAGAGGATTCTGCAGAATTGGATTATTGTGAAGCAGAAGAGCCTCCTGTTGATAAACCGCAAAAGTCCACCAAAAAACGAAACCCACCTATCTTAAGGATTATTCCGTAAATCACATAAAAGAAAAAATGTTGTAAACGTTACTTTTATAAAAAAAGGAGAGATGTTGTATAAGAGAGTCCCTAGGCTAGAGTTAAATTGTTAGACGCGCCTTTAGACGGGCATGAGTGTGTGTAACGCGGAGTGCAGCGGCGTGAGGGATGTGTTCGAGTCCGAGCAAGCTAATAAGCGTGTACAAGCAATAAAGCATTATTACACAAAAGTCGAGGTTATTTCTCCAGTGAATCTTGGTGAAGATTAATGGCAGATTGCAGTAACATTCGGCAGCAAGCTGTCGTTATTTTGACGTCAATATTGGTCAGTAACATAATTTGTCTTTTGAGGACGTGTATTTAACATCATGTTTTAAGACGTCAAAATGACTTTGCAAAATGACATTATGATAACGTTTAATTTACCATATTATAGACGAATTTCTTTTTCGAAAGAATTTCTTTTTCTTTTTAAAAAGATTACTATTTTTATAGATATATTTTTATATAATAATAACGTTGCATATTGCAGTGCAATGTTGCAGAGACATTGCAGTGACATTAATTTGAAATATTACTTTAGCAATATTACAGCAATATTTAAAAAAATATTACAAATATAATATTTTTTACTCATTTACTAGTTATTTTTGTTACCCAATAAACAAACAATATTTTAAAAAATATTTAAAAAACATTTCAAAAGACATTTTAAAACATTAAAAATAATGGGATAAGTTCTTTTTTTATTAAAATAACGTTTTTTAACGTTTGGAAGAATGTTTTATTTTTAATATTTAATGAATATTTATTTTAACATTTAAAAAACGTTTTTCTAAATGTTAACATTTAACACTTAAAATATATTTTCTAAATGTTAACATTTAACACTTAAAATATATTTTTTAAATGTTAAAATGAACGTTTATTAAATATTAAAATAAAAATATTTTTACAAACGTTAAGAAAAACGCATTTTTAATAAAAAAAAAAAAAAAAGAGAACTTATTTCATTATTTTTAACGTTTTAAAAATGTTTTTTTTCAAATGTTTTTTAATGTTTTGTAATGTCAACACTTAAGTAAACTTATTGTACATAAATATTTTATGCATGCTCTAACTTCTCTTTTATTATATGAAATATAATCTCTTTTATTATATGAAATATTAAAATTATACATAGTTTATTTTTATAGTTGTACTAAATAATATTATAAGAAATCTATCTATTTAGTGCTTTGGCTACATATAGCCATAGGGATAACAAAATATACTTAGTATCAGTTGAAGAAATAGTGCAGTAACCAAGGTGGTAGACTTAGGAATCTGGAAGTGTGTGAGGTCACGAATTCGCGTCCGACCAGTAGTGAGTAAATTTTCAAGTGCGGAAATAGTGAGAAATCAAATAAAACAGCTAAATTATATTTAAATCAACATAAGCTTACAATCGTTTCTGCAAAATATATTTTTTTAACCAGTGTTATACTTCATTGTTACGTCATTTTATGTAAAACAACGACGTCATTAAGTCGTCATACATATGACGTCATTGGTCTGTGTCTTAGGACCGTCAAAAGGATGTCATTATTTGATTAACTTGAAGGATAAATGACGTAACAGATGACGTAAAATTCACATCATTATCACGGCTGTCTGCTACCTAGGATGTTCATTAAAATATATAAGCTTGTAATCTTATTGCAATGTTCGGTGTTGTGAGGGTACTTTACAAAAAGTATTACTAGCTATGATAAATATGTCAGTAAAAAATTATTACGAGTACGAGTAATAAAACTGAGCAGCAAAAATTTATTACTGACCTATTTACCATTGCCAGTAATATTTTCTGTATTCGGAAAACTGTCAAAATTGCATATAGTTTCAAAAAAATGTACAAAACTGTCAAAATATCTGTCAGGACTAACTACAGAGCATATCTATAATATTGGATTAGCCAATAAGTCCGTGCGATTTTTTTCAATAAATGGCTTCAAGGCGCTCTGCTAAGCTGTATCTTCAATCAAAAGTCTTGAAAGCGTATAGTCATTGACAGATGACATTTCAACGCATTTAAAAAATATACGTAAAGATTGCTTGTGTATCTTGTGTGTTTTGCGTCATCTGAAAATGGATACCCCAGGAGGAGCATTTTTGACATATTATTTTTTTATCCTTTTTTATTTTAAATAAGGCAAAAACGCGGCGCAAACCTGTAGAAAGATTTGTACAATATATGGAGAAAGAACGCGTATGCCAAAAATGGTTTGCGAGATTTCGTTGCGGAGATTTTTCCGTCAAAGACAAACCACGCTTAGGCCTACCAAATCAGATCGACAGCGACAGATGGAAGGCGATAATCGACACCAGTCCATACTACACGACGCGGGAGATTGCAGATGTTCTCCAAATATCGAAATCGAGCGTGGAAAACTATCTGCATCAACTTGGTTATGTTAGCCGTCTCGATGTTAGGGTTCCGCACGAACTGAGCGAAGCTCATTTAATCCAACGCATTTCCATCAGCGATTCACTCGGAAAACATGAAAAAAATGATCCATTTCTGAATCGTATGGTAACTGGCGACGAAAAATGGATCGTCTACAATAACATCAAGAGCAAAAGATCGTGGAAAGACCGCAGCGAACCGCCACAAACCATTTCAAAGGCAGGGTTTTATCCGAGCAAGATCATGCTCTCAATTTGGTGGGATTGGAAGGGTGTTGTGTTCTACGAGCTACTTCCAAAGAACAGAACGATCAATTCAGATGTGTACTGTAGCAGTTGGATAAATTGAATGCAATGATCCGCGAGAAGCGTCCAGAATTGGTAAATTGTAGAGGCGCCGTCTTTCACTATGCAACGCTTGGTCGCACACATCTCTACAAACCCGGCAAAAATTATTGGCGCTAGGTTGGGATGTCTTACCACATCCTCCGTATTCTCCAGACATTGCACCTTTAGATTACCATCTGTTTCGCTCCCTTCAAAATTCCTTGAATGGAAAGCACTTCGTTTCTGAGAAAGTTGTCAAACGACACTTGGAACAGTTTTTTGCCGAGAAAGACAGGAAGTTCTTTGAACGAGAAATTATGAAGTTGTCCGAAAGATGGCAAAAGATAGTAGATAACAACGGCCAATACATAATTAATTAAAGTTATTATCTCCTATAAAAATAATCATCGATCATTTATAAATAAAAAACTGCACGGACTTATTGGCCAACCCAATATATCAGCTGTATATGTAATTTTTGTCTTTTGCAGCTTATCCATATTGTTCACTTCAGTTTTGTTGTGCGATTGTTGTGAAGAATATTTGTGAAGATATTACTGTCACAAACTGTTTGCCAAAATTTATTGTTTGAACAGTACTGTGAACGATTGTACATCAATAGTAACTATCAGAGAAAAGACTCTTTAAAACTATAATAACTATATAACTCCGGCAAATTACTGTAGACCAATAATACTTCTGCAACTTGTCATTTTCCAGTAAATTTAGAAAAATATCAAACGCTGATAGTCACTAATAGGTGGCAGTAACTATCACCGACAATTCATAAAAGTAATTGCATAGAACTTTTGAACGTCAACAGTAACTGTAAATGTTTGTATAGTAACTGTCAAAAACTATAACTTTTCGAAAGTTTTTTTTCCTGAGGGATGCCATATAGACTGCTCTCGGAAACATATGATGCTTGCAATTTCAGTAATTCATTGTATTTTATGTATTTTGTTTATTGTACATTCAATACTTCATTGTGTATACATTAATATATATATATATATATATATATATATATATATATATATATATATATATAT